GTAGCTCAGTTAATCTTACCATTAACAATATACTTCTCCTCGTCATCGTTTTCCATGAAATGTGGCGCAGTAAATTTGGAGTAAGGTGCTTTCTTATTCGTATAACTACAATCCAGATTTTTTTAAAGCTCTTGCACGTGCCTTGACGGGTATTAAAGGTGACCGATAATATGTAAGGGGAAGCTGACAAACAAAAGAAATGCATAACGCTGCTTAATTGAATGTCAACTCTCTTTCCTTACCAAACGCTCGTTCATTTTCCTTTCAAACACACCCAAGCCACTGCCTAAGATATCACGATGAAGTAAATTTCTGCGTTCACAGCGCAACTGATCCATTAGCAACTCGTGTTCGGCCATACCCGCTGTAGCGGCGGCAATATATCGCTTGCCAATTTTAGATGCGAGATTTGGTACGAAACCATCATAGCCGGGTATGATGGGATGACGATAAACTGGATCAACAAATTTTTTCGCGGGTATTTAGCAGTTCAGTTTCATGTACAGTGGGATATTCGAGCGATAGTGGTTCTCGATTTGACGGCGTTACAATCAACTCGGGCGCGTGTATGACACAGGGATCGATGAGCAGTTTATGTGTTAGTTTACCATACGTTTTGCCAGCGCGGAAACGAAATTGTGGACAGTGGCCAGTGTAGCTGCGAGTTATTAAAAAACTATAAATATTAATGCCTAAACGCAAATGGAAAAACAAAAATTTACCCGGGAACGAAATGGGGTTCAGGTGTAATGACCAAGTCCATGTTGTTGGCCTTGTTTCTACGATGCTATTTCACTTAAATACTACAAATTTTGTATTTTTACTACTTCTATGTTTTGTTCCAACTTTCTTTCATTATAGCCACATACAATTTTGGACGAAGGATTTTACAGATTTATTTTTATAAAAAATTATATAACAATACAATATTTTTTGACTGTTAAATAATCATTTTCTAAACGATTTGTTTTAGTAAAATTTAAAAGATAGAAAAAATATAAATATAATATATTTTTTGACATTCACCTTTTCACTTATATCCTACGTTCTACGTTCCATATCTAGTTATTTTTGCGTTCGTACTATGGGCTAAAGTCCAGCCACTTTGAGCATTTCTTCAACATCTACAAACTTTTCGCGTGGTTTACATAGTTTTTGCCCCGCTTGCATCTCAGCTTGATCGATGCGCTCCCAATGTGACCATGTAACAAGACGTTTAAATTGCTTTGCTTCCAAACCTAGTTTAGCTTTGCTAGTATCCACTTCATTTGACAAAATATCATCACATATTGTTTTTGCGACGCTGAAAGCACCATTCATAGTCGTTAAAATAACACCTGTAGGACCAGTACCCAACCAACCCGCTACATAAAGGCCCTTGTCTACTGTTTTGCTAGCCGCATCCTTTAACACGCGACCTATTGTAAATGTGAGCATTAACTAAATGTATGAATATTTATTAGATGTACATAAATACTTACCATATTCATTGTATACACAGCCACTGCGCTTATCAAAGCAAATTCCACCATCGACACAAGTAGATTTGTAGCCTATGCTGCGGAGTAGTAAATCAGCTTGAAGCTGTTCAGATCGGTTAGTCGGCACAGCTATATCGTTTTGTAGTTTTGTAACGGTCAATTCGATTTTGTTATCCTTAATAAATTTTGGAGCTCGCAAAAATATGGGCAAGAATTGTTTCTTGTTGCTAGTACTTGCCGACTGTTCCGACAAACTCTTCAGCATCAATTCAGTGAGGCGTTTACGTGGCCGCGGTAAATTGGGTATTTGTGCATGGACATCTGTAAACCATTTTTATTTGCATCTATATGTATGACAATAATGAATTTTAGTCGCAACTTGCCTGTAAAGTCATCGGGTCTCCACAGTGTTTGCACATTTGGTAATTTTAACATTTCACGTAATTCTTTTATAGTGAAAGCAGCCTGTAAAGGACCTCGTCGGCCAACCAAATAAACTTGCTCGACTTTGCTGCGTGAAAGCGTCTCCAAAGCATATTCAGTAGTATCTGTTTTCTATGAATTAAGAAAATTTTACTAGTTAGAGGGTTATCTACCAGCGAACCCACATATTTACCTACGCGCAAAACATCCAATGGACTAAGTAACATTCGCGCCACGTCCACAGCAACATTGCCTTGCCCTAAAATTGTCACAGTTTGCCCACGCAAATTGGGATTTAAGTGTTGTGCACCTGGCAGGCCATTGTACCATTCCACAAACTTACGAGCAGACAGCACATTTGGCTGATCTTCATTAGGTATGTTCAGCTGACGATCCTGATCTGCTCCATAAGTCAGCAGAACTGCATGATAGCGTTCTCGCAAATTTTGCAAGCTTACATCTTTGCCTAACGCTACGTTACCCCAAAAATTGAAGTTTTTATGTTCAGCTGTTTTAGTAAAAGTATTAATAACGTTTTTTCACCTCGGGATGATCGGGCGCAACGCCATAACTGTAAGAAATATAAATATAATATAAGAATAAAAATGTTAGTGAGTTACATTTAAACCGGTTCCTTGGTCATCGAACCAGTTTCTACTTTTCGTATTCAAAAACGCACAGGCTCAACCTTATTTACTTAAACTTGCACAAATATGCATATGTTGTTCTTAATCATTCATACATATGTATCTGCTTGGATTAAAATAAGTTATCTCACCGTACTAAACCAAATGGAACAGGCAATTTTTCAATTACATCCACCACACTTCCATTCAAGTGTTTGAACTGTGCAGCGTAGAATCCAGCCGGTCCCGAACCAACTATGCAAATTCGTTTCGTTGCACCAGAACCGACATCGCTACTGAATCCTCTACTGATGGCACTGAACCACATTTGCTTTGAATTTGCTGATATGGCCAATCTTCCTGATATTAGCATTTTGC